TCACCATTCTTCTTTCAGGCTGGCTCTAGGCATTGTAATGTTTAGCTTGCTGCGTCATTTTCCTTCAGGAATTGGTCAACGGTGGGAGAGTCTAAGGAAATCAAAGAAATACCAAAATCTTGTCCGCTGGTTCAACAGCATAGATTCAGAATACAAAGACACACTGAACGAAGTTGTGGCTGCATATGTTGGGAAACGAGGAATTGGAAAATCTCCTGCACCAAGCCTTAAGGAAAAGGTACATGATTCTAAGGATCCATCAGCTCCAGAAGTTGATCTCCCTGGTGCAAAAGTTGGGAAAGTTTGCGTTCGTTTTGCCCCAGAGCCTAGCGGTTACCTCCATATTGGGCATGCAAAGGCTGGGCTATTGAACAAATACTTTGCTGAAAGATATCAAGGGCGCCTAATAGTTCGATTTGATGACACAAACCCTTCAAAAGAAAGCAATGAGTTTGTTGAGAACGTTTTGAAAGATATTGAGACGTTGGGGATCAAATATGATGTTGTCACATACACATCTGATTATTTCCCAAAGCTAATGGAAATGGCTGAAAGTTTGATAAAGCAGGGTAAAGCATATGTTGATGACACACCAAAGGAGGAAATGAGGAAAGAGAGGATGGATGGTATTGAGTCAAGGTGCAGAAATAATACCGTGGAGGAAAATCTGTCGTTATGGAAAGAGATGGTTAATGGAACTGAAAGGGGCATGCAGTGCTGTGTACGGGGTAAACTTGACATGCAGGATCCTAACAAGTCACTCAGGGATCCTGTTTACTACCGCTGTAATATTGATCCTCACCATCGTGTTGGTTCAAAGTACAAGGTCTATCCAACATATGACTTTGCTTGCCCATTTGTTGATGCATTGGAGGGGGTGACACACGCTCTTCGTTCCAGTGAATATCATGACAGGAATGCCCAATATTATCGAATTCTTCAAGACATGGGGTTGAGGAGAGTAGAAATTTATGAATTCAGCCGATTGAATATGGTTTACACTCTTCTAAGCAAGCGGAAGCTTCTTTGGTTTGTACAAAACAAGAAGGTCGAAGATTGGACTGACCCACGTTTTCCCACTGTCCAAGGCATAGTGCGCCGTGGCTTGAAGATTGAGGCATTGATACAATTTATACTCCAACAGGTACACCTCTGTGCTAATGTCCTCTTGCTTTATCTTCATATTTATTGAATGTTTAATACTGATTTCGTATCCATGTTTGATCTTTTGAAACTATATCTATTTTGTTTGTTGAAGGGTGCGTCAAAAAATCTGAATCTCATGGAGTGGGATAAACTCTGGACAATCAACAAGAAGATAATTGATCCAGTGTGCGCAAGGCATACTGCTGTGCTAAAAGACCAGCGTGTCATCTTTACTCTTACAAATGGTCCAGAGAAGCCATTTGTTCGAATTTTACCAAGGCATAAGAAATTTGAGGGTGCTGGAAAGAAGGCTACAACCTTCGCCAACAGAATTTGGTTAGATTATGCTGATGCAGCAACCATTAGCAAGGGTGTGGAAGTAACCCTTATGGATTGGGGGAATGCTATCATTAAAGAGATCAAGGTGGAGAGTGGAGTAATTACTGAACTAGTTGGAGAACTACATCTTGAGGGCTCTGTGAAGACAACAAAATTGAAGATCACATGGCTAGCAGATATAGAGGAGCTAGTCCCCCTCTCATTGGTTGAATTTGATTATCTCATCAGCAGGAAAAAGGTATTTATCTGCTCTCTTCAGCCATTGCTTATGTATTGTACTAGCCTGTGATGCTCAAAATATCATTTTGTGCATGATTGTCCATGTTTCTTGATGATAGTTTGATCATAAAATTAGATATAACATGTTATAATGTGATTTGTGCGTTGTCTTGCATATAGAAGACTATGCTGCACTGAATCAAATTGCATGCTGATTTCCACGGCAATTTATCTTCTAGATATGCAGCAAAACTGCAGTTTCATTCACAAGTTTTCCCCTTAATTTCTACTTAATCTTGTATAGTGATGCTGCAAGAGAATCTATGTTGAATCCTTTTTTATTTTGTTGAAAAGTATGTTGAATCCTTAGAATGGACATTGTCGGAGTGAATGCAATGTCTGCCTCCAGATTAAAGACTTAGGAAAATTCCTTGTTAAGTTTTAATTAGAAAGACTGCTTGTTCTTTGACAAATTAATGTTTAATTATTCTGTTTGTGGCCTCTGGCAGCTAGAGGAGGAAGATGACTTCCTCGAGAATCTCAACCCTTGCACTCGACGAGAGAACCCAGCCCTTGGAGATGCAAACATGAGGAACCTCAAGCGTGGAGAGATCATACAGCTCGAGAGGAAAGGCTACTATAGGTGCGATGCCCCTTTTATCAGATCGTCAAAACCGGTTGTTCTGTTTGCAATCCCAGATGGCCGACAGCAGGCCTCGCTTAACTAGGCATGGTGACCACTGATGGCACATGGAATTTCCGGAGATGTCAGAGTCGGCAATCAATATTGTTGCATTATACACTAATAATATTGTACTGTGATTAGGCTTACTCGCGGTGGATTTCTTTCACTGCTAGATGGCCAGGCCTATCCTGCCAACCAAGCAGCGCAGCCATTTTGATTTTGGTCGATGATACTTTTGCCTGAGCTTGAAGATTCTTACACTTTTCTAGCAGTGCCTTTGTTATTTTGCTGTTAGATTATTTTTGTTGCGTAGGCTGTTTTTTCTTTTGCTCAGGTATTAACTAGCTTAATCTATCGTGGACGGGTATGGTATGTTGCTGTGATGAGTAATTGCAAGTGTTGACCCTAAGGTTGGGAGTAGGATGACCAAGTTGGCCTTGCTGTGTTGGGATTCTTGTTCAAGATGTTTCTCGTGAAAACATCGCCCCGCCTGTGGTAGCTTAGCTCGGCCCCTAAGCATGCCAAATAATTTGAAGATAAGGTTTTTTGGTCTGAAATTTTTGGGCTTTCTCAATTCCCAGCACCGATCGCCGGTCACCATGATCTACTTGTACAGGCAAATTAACTATGAAGCAGTGGATTAGGTTTGAATGCAAAGTCAACATCAAAGCGTCATTGATTTATACACTGTATGAGAACTAATCTTATACCTATTTTTTTTATGGGTAGACCAACCCAGGAACCCTCCATACACTAGAGGTTGCAGCTAGGCCAAGTGAGTAGTGAAATGAGCACATGACAGAACACCAAGAACATAGATTACAACTGGGGATAAAATTGCACTATGGTTCCAACCATCAACAGGTAATAGAATTGCACAATTGTTCCAACCATCAACAGCACAATGGTTCCAACCATCAAGGATTTGTATACACTGCATATAGCTAATATTGTTCAAAAAAATTGACATTTCCAAACTCATCCAGAAAGAACCATCCTCAATAAACCGATTCCTTCATTTTCAAATACAAACAGAGAACACCATCCTACAAAACTACCTACCACCTCGCCGCCACCACAGTCCCAGCCCGCCGCCTCACAGCAGCCCATACTCGCTGCAGCCACACCCCTCGGGGCCTCAGCCTCTACGGGTGCTGAAGCAGGCGGTGACCTGGCTGTTCTCCATGCAGTCCTCGTCAAGGCCGCCTCGCCAGCGACCTCTGGACCAAAACAGGCCAAGAGACGAGCAGAATCTCGTAGACTGGGTGAAGCCCTACTCTTCCAACTCTTAGAAGCTTGAGACTGCAATCAATACAAGACTTCAAGGGAACTATAGCATAAAATAAGCAGCCCAGCTCGCTCCAGTGGCAAATAAGTGCCTGGTGCACCAAGCGAGGTACTGTCCCAAGATGAGCGAGGTACGCAGAAGATCGTCGAGAGCAGCGAAATTGGAACAACAGAGCATCCCCTGATCAGTAATTCAAAGGAATTAGTGACTGATGGAAAGGAAAGGAAAGCCTTGATTTTAACAGAAGTGCAGATATTAAAGGTGGAGAAGGGAGATGTGGCATGGCAAAGGCGGATGCCTAAGCTTGCGAGAACACAATGATTCACATCAACAGAAACAGATGAGGTGTTTTTTGCTTGGCTTGACTTGCGTGGTAAAGTAGCAAAAACAGCAAATGACTGAAAGGTACACCTGTGAGTTTGCATATAGCATACAAGTCAAAGAGCATATGACAATTGTAAACAAACGGTTTGGTGCGGCCCATGGCGGCCACCACTAACTAATGGATAGGTCCACATTTTCTGGGTTCACACTTAGGCTGATAGGCAATCTTCTCCACTCACTTGAGGTTCTACGTTTTTTATCAGAGCTTAATCAAAGCTCAGCTAGTGCTTTCTCCTTGTAGAAGGCTTACTGTACAGTTTAGCTTGGTTTTGTGGAGTGAATTTTGAGTGTATGAAGTGCCATATAAGAGTACTCTTGTCTCGCTTGTTGCTTCATATATTCACAGGTGTTGCACTTTGCGCAACCTCCCTGCACAATTCTGTTTCCCTATACTTTGTACAGCTGATACCCATAAAAAGAGCAGAATGACTTGTGCACTTCCATATAAATTGCTGGAACATGCTCCTGGGCTCCTGGCAGATTGCAAAATTGCTCCATGCACAGCTTTAGCAGATGGTTGTAACTTATGAAACACTCGATATAGTTTTCACCTTATTGCCAAATCTGTCATACAGGCAGTAGCTACAGGTGAAGCAATTTCTGAAGAAAGTTTATCCAGATGTCAATATTATCTGTCTGCTATTCAAGCAATGTAAATGCCATCTGCATCCCATATTTCCATGTCCCTTCTATCAGCAGAGAATTTGCAGCAAATGCTGCTTCTAATGCTCAAATATATATCTCCTGGTGGATCTGCTCACAACTGGGTTGACCTCTCGATTTAGATTCCAATTAGATTAGCCTAACTGATGCTTTGCATAGTGCTTCAGTGGCCAGGACTAAGAGTGGCAAATACTATGTCCAGATTCACTCTGAGAAAATGATCATACAGCTTCATGGAAATTCTTTGTTGAGTGATCCACAGGTGCAACCATCATTCTAGCAGTGTGCACAGAGGTAATCTGGAATAGTAGCATCATCCTTCATTTTCATCTCCATTGCTATTAGATTCAGCAAGTCATAGATCTCCGCTGAGCCAGAATGAGTCTTGTCCTGGGCAGTGAACCTGGAGAGCCCTCCACCAACATCAATCTCACTAAATCCTGGGACCTTTTTTACACCCCTATCCTCCATTACCTTTCTAGCTTTCTTCGCCTCTTGCCACCGTCTGGCAACAGCATAGATATTGGACAGGCCAATGTACCTGCCATCATGGTCTGGCTGCAACTGGACAAGCTGCCTACCGACTACCTCCCCCAGCTCCACCCATCCATGCAAATGACAGGCATTCAAGAGAGCACCAAGCACAGAAACACTGGGCTTCATCGGCATACTTTTAACAACACCATACACTTCCTCCAAGTGCCCAGCACGGCCAAGCACATCTACCAGGCAAGCGTAATGCTCAACATGTGGTCTGAGCCCTTGCGCTTCAAGCGAGCGGAAGAACTCCCAAGCCTCATCCACTAGACCGCCATGGACACAAGCACTCAACAGACAAAGGTACGTGATCTCATCCGGTGCAACCCCAGCACGCCGCATCTTCTGGAATATCTCCACCGATTCGGTGGCCATGCCATGCACCGCAAGGCCACCAATCACAGCATTCCATATCAGAACATCAGTGCTCTCCACCGGCACAGTCCAGAACACCTCCAGCGCCTCACAGATGGCCCCGCACTTGGCATACATGTCAACGAGCGAGGTCGCAAGCTTGAGGTTTAATGGGAAGCCACGCTCCCTGAGGCACCGGTGCACCCGCCTCCCACGCTCAAGGTCCCCAAGGTTCGCACAGGCTCCAAGCACGCTCACCATCGTGACGTCATTCGCCCTCGCCCCACCCCCACCATCCTCCACTGACCTGGCGGCAGTGTTCTCCATCATCTCAAACAGCGCAAGCGCCTCACGGTGCTCTCCACACTTTACGCACCCGTCGATCATGGCGCTCCAGGACACCACGTCCCGCTGGGGCATCCGAGCGAACACCTGCCGCGCGGCGAGAAGGTCCCGGCACTTGGCGTACCCATCGAGGAGAGCGTTCCAGGAGACGAGGTTGGGGCGCGGGATTTCGTCGAACACCCGGTGGGCGTGGTCTGCCAGGGTGCATGCCGCGTACATGTGGACGAGGGAGTTGGCGACGTGGAGGTCGGCAGGGAGGAGGCCAAACCGGAGCGGGTGCGCGTGGAGCGCAGCCGCGAGGGAGGCGGAGGACAGGCGCGCGGCGGCGCGGGCAAGGAATGGGAAGGTGAAGTGGGACGGGCGCAGGGAGGAGCGGAGGAGGAGGATGAAGAGGGAGAAGGAGAGGGAGGGGGACGTCGAGGACGAGGCGGACCGGATGAGGGGGTCGAGGAGCTGGGTGGTGAGCGTGCGGCCGCGGAGGTCGCGGAGAAGGTGCGGCAGCAGCGGCGGGTAGGGAGGCGGAGGCATGAGCATCAGTGAGGCCGTCAGCGTCAGGGGACGGGCGGCAACTAGTAAGGGAGGACCGACGGCCCGCTCTCCTCACTCCTCCGCTCCATGCCGCCGTCCCTCGCACCGCTCGTGCACGCCCTCGCCTTCAAGCTCGCCCTCTCCTCGTCTCCCTATTCTGCCTCGTGCCTTATTACCCTATACTCCCGAGCCCGCTCCCCCTCGTCCGCCCGCCACCTGTTCGATGAAATCCCCGTTGCAAATCGGGACCCCGTCTGCTATTCTTCCACGATTGTTGGGCTCGCACAGAACGGGCGGTACGAAGAATCTCTCTCTGTGTTCGCTGTTATGCGCACAAATGCTGTTGATTCTACCATGTATGCACTGTCCGGTGCTCTCTGTGCCGCTGCAGGGCTTGCTGTGCTGGAGCAGAGCTGTGGGATTCATGCGCATGCGGTGGTGGTTGGGCTTGATGGAAATGTGGCTGTTGGGACCGCCCTGGTGGATGCTTATGGTAAGGCTGGAGTTGTGGATGATGCTGCTAAGGTTTTTGAGGCGTTGGGCGGTGACCGGAACCTGATCACATGGAATGCGGTGCTGTCTGCTCACGCTCAGCAGGGAGATGTGCAAGCGATCATTGGGCTGTTTAACCAGATGATGGAGCTGGGTTTTGCTCCTGATGGGCTAACATTCCTTGCTGTTCTCACGGCATGTAGTAATGCCGGAGCAGCCACTGAAGCTGAGTTTTGGTTGGAAGCAATGCAGTTGAAGTACAGTGTGAAGCCTAGCCTTGAGCATTATACTTGCGTGGTGGGTGCAATGGCACGGGTGGGACGTCTAGAGGATGCAGAGAGTGTTGCTTGTACAATGCCATGCAAACCAGATGCAGCAGTGTGGCGGACACTTCTAATGGGCTGTGTGGTTCACCGCAAGGTTGACATGGCAGAATCCATGGGACAGAGGCTTCTGGAGATTAATCCCAAGGATGACTCAACTTATGTCATGCTTGCCAACGTGTACTCAGCAGCTGGGAAAAAGAATGAGGAGGCCAAGGCATGGACTGCAATGAGGGATCGTGGAGTCAGGAAGGAAGGTGGCCGGAGTTGGATTGAGGTCAGAGGGCTGGTACATGTGTTTGTTGCAAACGAAAGAAGGCATGAACAGCTGCTAGAGATATATGACAAGGTGAATGAATTGATTCAAGAGGTAGAGAAGTTAGGGTACAAGGAGGCAGATGAGGGTTTCAGAGAAGATTCACTTTCCATTACTTCAGTTTCAGAGAAGACAATGAAGTGAGGGACTGACTCCAGGTCAACTACCCTTGCTCTAGCCATTAGTCTAGTCTTGTGATCTGGTTTCTTATCCCAAGTAAGCATTCTCCCAAAGGGGGCCAGAGCATTGTCTATAAATTCTTCCTCACAATAGTCAAAAGGGAAGCCTAATAACATCAGCCATACTTCTCTATTGAAAGTGACACGCCTCCAGTTGCGGCCCAGATTTTGCCTCACAAATGAGATGGCAAAGTTGTCGAACTGATGCAGACTATTGGCAATCAGCGTATCTCTATCATAGACACGAACAAACTAGACCAGAGCCTGACCGAGATGACTACGCTGAATTGAGCAGATTTGCACTCTTGCTACGTCCGCGAAAAAATCATCCAGAATATCCCTAACAGCATCGAAGTTCAGGACATTACCAGGTAACGGTTGAATGGTTACGATCGCCCAGTCTTCATGCCGTGGCACCGGTCTTGAGCCTGCCACCGCTCTGACCATGAACTGACGATTGTCGATATGCTGCAGTTGCATCTCAGGCAGAAGGAAGGGCCCTGGATCAGCCCTCTGGAAAGCCATTTGGGTTGGCTGCGAAGCTGGAATGCACTGAGTTGGTAATGGCGATGGAGCGAAGTTGGGGTTAACTTGGGAAGCAGAAGGCCGCGGGGGTATAAGCACTGTTCCAGAGGAATGTGAAGAGACGAGGCTGAGATTAAGGTCTAGTGACACTGCTGAAACCTCTTCCGGGTGGGACAATGCTTGTTGGGGCCCAACTGTCATTGGCTTGGGTGGAAGATGCCACTCAATAACCTGTTGAGTAGGGGCCTTACCATTCAGGTGAAGGTGCTGTTTGGCCCAATCTGCGATGGAAGTTCTTGTTCGCTTCTCTTATAATCCGTCTTTTTCAACTTATTTTTTTAGTTGGAACAATGTTTTTCTTGAGAAACAAATCAGCTGGAATAGTGTTTCGGCTTGTTTTTTCAGCGAAGCGAACGGGGCCGAAGGTGGGCGGTTTGCTCGGGCCAGGCCCAGACAGTGCAACAAATGAGGTGGGCTGCTCGATGTGTGCTTTTCCTTTAATGTCACCAGTAAACTGCCTGGAGTTAGGGCAGTCCCAACGGTATATTGATGATGATTTCTATTATCATTAAATGACTTGCCACATAGGCAAAATGCTGACATGACAACGTAGTTAATGAAGAAAGAGAACAAAAATCATAGAAATGGTTTTCTCATGAAGAAACCAAGTCTTCTTTTGACCCAATGCACCAAGAAACCATGAAATCGTCATTGGAGAGAAACCACTAGTTTCTAGAGGCTCGTGCCATACTCCCATTGGAGGAAGAAGGTAGAGTTGGGAGAGAGAAAGAGAAAATAATTATTACTCATAGAAACCATGGATTGAAAAACAATACTTTTTTTTGTGGTATCCTATGTTATAGGAACTAGTAGTTTCCTTCATTTGTGACTGCCCTTACTGTCCCGTTGCCGTTTAACTGGGCAGTCAAGCTGGACGTGTCCCCAAGATAAGCACGCGTGACATTTAATAGGGACTCTGGAATTCCTTCTCTCTTGCGCATTGGACAGACAGTGCGAGCATATCCCGGGGAAGGTACTCGATGATGGATACTTTGACATATCCCTTGACTTCTCCATAAACTTCAAATTCAAACTTTGACCCCCCTTGTCAGAACGCGGATGAACTGGAGGCTTGCCAAGAATAGAACTGCTTGAGAACAACAACTCAGGCCTCAATTGCTCAGGATTGCGTGGGAATTCAATCCGCTCAAAGACAGATGTTCGAATGTCATCAGGCCTCAATTGCTCATGGTTGCGAGGGATCTCAATCCGCTTGAAGACAGATGGTCGAGCATCAGGTTTCCAATGGACAGGAAAACGAGGGCGATCAAAATGCTTAGGTGATGGAGGAACTGGAATGGCATTAGCGCCAGTCAAGGGTGGCTGTCTTTTGCTAAAGCGTTGAGCAGGCTGCCAAGAACTTTCTTCTTCAGAAATGTAATCTCTCCATTCACGCTGCCAATTAGGACCCCCTTGTTCTAGAGATGAATAAACAGCTTGTATTGTGGGCATTCAAATGAACGAAGCTTGTAGATGAAGTGCCCGACCACATTAGAAGAGACTGAAAAACAGAACACACGATCCCCCAAAGTGACAACCCTGAAGTCAGAGGCCACACCTCCAAACAAAGCTTGCAAAATCAAACCAACCAAAATAGAGCAAAGACGAAAAACACACCGACCGAAGGAGACAACCAAGAAAAAACAAAAAGAAGAGCTATGAGGACAAGAGACAGAGTGACGAAAAGGTCACCAGATTTGAAGCTGTGAAGCCAAACCCGGTTGAAAGGAGAGTCCCGGAAGCTCCATGGCGTGGTCGCCACCAAAAAAGCTTGAATGAGAAGTTGTCGCCGAGGACGTCAAAGTAGAGCGGCAATGGCAGGCCGATAAAAGAATTAACTTTTCAAGGAAGAAGACGATCCTCCGGAGCCAACAGGGTTGGCCGGCGAGGCCATAGAGCCACCGGCAGTGGAGGGAGAAGTTGACCTTCAGTAGATCTAGCCAAGCATGAAAGCTTAATCCGAACAACAGACGCAGTGGAGCACCACCTGAGGCAAACTGGCTCGACTCCGGTCACCGGCCAGAGGCTGAGGCAAAAAGTCGAACACCAATTGAGCAAGCATCTCAGGGGACGCCAACCACAGCAAGGAGGGCCCGCCGGAGATCAACAGAAGAAGGGAGGGCTGCCGGCACTAGAGGCTGAGGCAAGGCGAGGAACGACGGCGGCCGCCAGGAACATGGCGAGGGACCCAGCTAGGGTTAACACAGGTGCCGACGGCAGCGGCGGCGCGCGGCCGTGAGCGAGCAGGAGTTGCGGGCAGTGGTAGTCTCGCGCGGCGGCAGTACGGCGGGTTCACGAACACGGCGCTGGGTGCCGCGGTGGGCGGCAGTTACAGGTAAAAATCTTGTCCGGACTTGGTTGACCATCAGCACCTTTTTAGATTAACCAATATTATAACACATACGTGGTACTTATACTTGGATCACCATACATGGTACAAAACACGGAACAAATAAACGAAGGCTCAAACCTAAGTGTATTCTTGAATAATTCCAATTTTATTGTCATCTCTATCAAGTGACTAGCGACTGTATTCCTCTAGTGAATACAACATCACTCAATGCATCACAAAGATGCCCAATAAGGAAGGTCTTCGCCACTCACTATAATTTTCTTGTCTGAATTGTTTCCCCTTTACCGGCCAAAACCTCTAGGGTGGTTAGCGTTGTTGATGCGCATGACTCTCAGTAATCATGACTCAGTAATCACTCACGTCTCTTGCTGGGACTTGCTCCCATTACTTCTGTATCCTCTCTCTCGTGAAGCTAAAAAGGGATTTGCGATGAGCTTGTCGTCTACTCTGTCTGCAGTTGTAGGTGTAGTTATGCACGCGTGTTGTGAGTGCGGTGTATATGTGGACATGCTTTCATGTATGAACATGTACTACTGTGTGCCCAATAAAAAGGCATGGACTGCGGGCTTCCGTTAATCATGCACTGCTATGTCCCGAAAATACACCACCTCGCTATCAGTAAAAACCATTCGGGTTTATAGTACGTAGCTCCGATTGACATGTCGGATCATATGGTCCATGCATGTGTCTGCGACAAGCACGCACATACGATACGATACACACACACACCTTGCCGCCCGGGGCCGCGGGGACGCTGGAATCTGGCGGGAGCGTTTTGTCCCACTAGGGTGGCCGGTGGCACACACCCTTGCACTCATCCTGCCCAAAGGCAAGGCCGCAAAGTACAATGATAGTGGCCAGTGGTGTAAAGAAATCTTGCTAGCTAGCACACATGTACGTACAATATGACATAAATTTTTCATCGCAATTCGCAAGCAAGTTACCAGGACTTGGCCGTCGAAGTTCGGTCACATGGAATATCTAGACACAGCATGAAGTATTAAATATAGACTAATTATAAACTAAATATATAGGTTGAGATTAATTTGCGAGACGAATTTTTTAATCCTAATTAGTCGATGATTTAATAATGTGGTGCTACAGTAAATGTGTGCTAATAACGAATTAATTAGGCTTAATAAATTCGTCTCGTGGATTATCGAGGGATTTATGTAATTTATTTTATTATTACTATTCAAACATCTCATGTGACACCCGATGTAACACTTCTAAACTTTAAACTTTAGGCCCCGGATTTAAATACCCCGTGGGCTCCCAATTTCCCAAATACCCTGGATGAACCACCCATCACGCCAACTGACGAGTTACGACCATGCATCTGATCTCGGCCCCCGGCCACCGGGAAACCATGGGCTGATGCATTTGGAGGTACACCTATGACCTATCACCTATGTAGGGTTCTCTCTCTTAAAAAAAAAAAGGTATGTTTGTTGGGGGCAAGGTAATGCCATACTGGTCGAAAGTGAAAGACTCCTGGTGAGAGGCAATTATAGAAAGGGAAAAGGCGATCAAAGCGAGAGGAAGTTTCGTGCTTGCTTTGATGCCTCGCCCTCCTCGGTCCCCCTCCCTGTGTTGCTGTGTTTTTTTAAGTTTGCCCAAACGATGCATATGCGTGCAAACAGGGGAGAGGGAGACGGGGCAGAAAGGAAAGATCACGATCACGATCACGATCACGCAGCGATCGATCGGGCCGGGGGCGAAAAAACTGCTTCTGCGGTGTGCGAAAGCGTCGGCCGGGCCTCCTTGTCGCCAAGTCGCCAAGAGACCGTCTGGGCAAGTTATTCCGTAGCCGCTTGGCTAGAGTGAAATGTACTGTGCAGCAACCAGCAGCTTTCCTTTCAGGTACTGTACCACTCACTGCCTCCCATGGCACCTTTCTGTGAATTGGTCACCGATCCAGCCGCACAAGTCTCGTTCGTTCTTTCTTTCTTTCTTTTTTCTTTTTAAATTTATTTAGGTCCCCTTTGCAAATACTACTACTAGACTACTGTAGCAATGCTCTGCTC